CACACACACACACACACACACACACACACACACACACACACGCACACACAAGCAGAGCAGAATGTTTCGGTTTGTCATGACGTGGATTGAACATGTGTTATGGAGATGAAGATGTGGTCTTCGCTGTTCTCCGATCAATGAAATGGATGATGATGTGTCCACTGTCTTCAAAATGTCGTCAATGCACATGTCGCGGTGGCACGCGTTGCCGATTTTAATCGAAGCAAGCATGCGAAAAAAAGGACATGCCGCACCTTTCATGGCTGTCTAATTTCAAATACGTGGTTTTTTTTGTTGTTGTTTCTTCTTGAAGTTTTGCTATTTTTTTATTTTGAATGTCGTTGTGGTGTGTACCTTATTGTTTTCCAGTCCATCTGTGTGTTGTGGGAGTCGAGACGGGCGGTGAGTGGGCGAAATGTCAGCGGGCAGAAGCTGGGGTAGGTGGGGGGGGGGGGGGGGGGAGTGGGTTATCGGAGGGGGTCCTGGATGACGTGGCGGGGGCCAGGGTCCCTTTCGATTGTCCACGGGGATATCCATTTTTTTCAAGCCTGCGTGGATGGAGGGTGTCACATCGCACTCCCACTCCCCGTCGACAGTGTGCTCCAGGCCATCGTTGTTCGGCGAGAGTACTCGTCGCACTTTCATCGAAAGGTCGTTGTGGCATCACTCCCAGCCACCATCCACCGCGCTCAATAATTCACGAGCACGGGCCACTCATCCCCAAACGCATTTCGAGCGCACGCATGGATTGCGAGCACTGCAGTGGACTGCTTTCTCACCGCGCTCTTCTCTGCCTTTCGTGCGCTGTTGTGTCGTCGCCTGCTCCCGCCGCGCAACTTGGTTAATGGTCACTGTCGTCGTCGACCACGTACCCATCTGCGACGCGCGCCGTCTGCCATCTCTGTCGTCCACCAATCATCTTGCCGTCATTCGTCGTCGTCGCCCTGTCGTCACCTGCCGTCGCTCGTCGTCGCCGCCCTTGCCGCCGTTCGTCGTGCCGCCATTCGTCGACATCGCCCTTGCAGTCATTCGTCGTCGCCCTGTCCGTCATTCGCCACCCTGTAATCCATCCGTGTAATCATAGCCGTCTGTTCCATTCTTTGTCTTCCATTCTCGCCGCCCTGCAATCATCCATCCGCCGCACGGTGCACTCGTCCGCAAGCTGTGCAAACCACCGACCGCGATCGAAGGCGCTTTTTTCGGATCCGCCATGTCCTCCCGCGGAGCTGGACGGGGGAAGGCTGCCTTGAAGCAGATCGTGGAAGGCGCGGCCCCCACGAAGAAGGGACGACATCAAGCGAAGAGGCAGAGGAAGGTCGTCCAAGCCGTGCCCGCTGGCAGTGCACGAGACGTTGTGGAGGAGGTTGTGGTGGAGGAAGAGATGACGAACGACGACGACGACTTTGAAGACGACGACGATGAACCACTGCAGAGGAAGGCGAGGGTCAGCTCCGCGGGGGGGGTTAGAATAAACGAGGGGGGGGAAGGGACACCGACTGCATGGCGCGGCGGTGGCGTTGCCTCGGCCAACCAACCAGTCTTTGTCGACGTGGCGCGAGACGTGGCAAGGAGGGACATCGGTGGTCGCGCGAAGGAAGGGGCCGCCTCGCATGAGACTGCGCAACGCGTGCTTGCGCCTTTGAATCGCCCCCGAACCCCGACTGCAGACGTGGCGGGGAGTTCCCAAGCAGCGGTTGAAGGTGGGACGTTCCGATCTCCCGCGGTGGCGGCGCGCGGTGGCGCTGTGGCGGTCCCGGGAGAGGCGGTTGAAGTCCCGAAGGGAGGAGATGGCGCGGCAGCCGGGGAAGACGACGAGGCTCTGGTGCACAGGCTGCGCGAGCAACATGCGGCGACACATGCGATGGATGCCAACAGATTCTGGAACGACACATAGGGGAGCGTCATAGTGAGGATAATCTAAGAAGCGCGCGCGTATCTCGTGGCCATGGCGCGGGGAGTGCAGCCTCCGGCTATTCGACGGAGCATCTCCCTTCCACACAACTCCATCCCCCAACACAAAATCGAGGACGAGTCGGAGCTGAACGCGGCGAAAGAGGGGGCGTTAAAAAGTGCAGACAATCTCCCTTAGGGCGATCCACGGCTGGGTCTTCAAGTCGGAGAGGAGGCAAAGGGGGTATCACTTGGCATACCAATACGCATTGAATCACGCTGCCACGAACATCGCTAGAGCAATGTGGTCAGCAGAGGACTGGTGCAGTTTGGTGAGCCCAATGTTGTTCCGCAGCACATTGGACGTAGACATGAAGTTGCCTCTGTGATTCGTGGGCGTGAACATAGTGGACAGGCACGAGGACGATGAGTGCGCGGCTTACCAGGAAGCTTGTGTCCAGCGTCTGGTGCGGGATTTTACAAGCGCAGTTGGCACGGCAGAAGCTATGGACGGCGGTCGAGTGTCGTACGAGCGTCTGAAGGGGATGGCAGAGGCAATGAGGTATTTGCTCGCCGCCACGATGTGGATTATGCGAATGGCGGGGGACGATCCGAGATCGCATTACGACGCTTGGGTTTTCATTCAACTGACGGCGAAGACGACGCTGCCGGCGTCCATGAACCGGCAGTTCGACGCCCGCCGACACATCACGCAATCCGCGCAGGTCATGACGGACAAGTTGGGGAAACCGCCTCCGACCTTCGCCCCCCCACATGCGTACATCCCCGAATGGGCGTCTACGTGCGGGGTCACTTTCTCGCACGACACCACGTTGGCCTCCCCGATGGAGGCGAAACGGTTGAATTGGCTGGGGACAGGTCCCCCCGAGGACGACGACGACGACGCCGAAGGCGATGACAAAGGCGAGGGGGGGTGACACGTAGACGACGGTGATGGCGAAGGCGAGGAGGGGATGATGCGCAGGCCCTGTTGAGATGGCAGGNGGGTGACACGTAGACGACGGTGATGGCGAAGGCGAGGAGGGGATGATGCGCAGGCCCTGTTGAGATGGCAGGTACAAGAGGATGGGGGGAGGGGGCGTTTTAGGGGTATTGCTTTGGGGGGCGGGACGCGGGAGGGCTCACGGGGGAGAAAGGGTTTGTGGCATCGTTTATGATTGTGTTCGGGGCAAGACGCCATGAGCGTGCGGGGTTTGTTTGAGTACTGTGGGAGCGATCGTCGTACAAGTGTTGTTTTCTGGTCATTGATGACTGTGTTCGGGGCAGGACGCCATGTGGAAGTCTTATTGGCAACTTTTTTTTTTTTTCTCTGGATTTCGGCATGCCACTGTTCAAAGGTGGCATGCGTAGTAGAAGGTGTGCATTGGTAGCGCAGCGAAATTTCTTAATGGGTGATGTTCTTTTTTATCTTCGCAACGATGCATGGTCTTATTTTTTCATTCCATCCTCATCACTTTTTTTTTTTTTTTTTTTGGGAAAACGCATGCACGGCGGGTGCGGTTTCATCTCTCATTGTCTGTTGAATGTTCGTGGCAACAAAGTAATGCGTCATGGTTCGTGTGTATCGAACGTCCAATCCATCCTTCCGCCTCGTTTCGTAATAAACAAAAAAAAACAAAAAAACAAAATTTAAAATACAAATAAATAAAACAAAAATAAAAAATAAAAAAATACAACACACCACATTGGAGCGAGAGAGGTAAAATGCAGGCAAAGCGGTGAACAATCTTCGAAACCAAGGACCAAAACAACTGTATTGCAAACCCATGCAATAGCAGTTCCCTTCAACATAACAACAAGAGAAATGCGGAATGAACTATTTTTTGCATACACCGTTGTGAGCGAAGAAAACTCAAATCTCAAAAAGGGATTCCCCTTACAATGCGGAAGCATTTCCAGGTACCAGCAATGTTGCATTGTTTACAATCAAACCCCTCACCCCACCATCCCCCC